TGCATGAGATGGGGTAAGGTCCAGATCTCTGGGGGTAGCTCATTCCAAAGGGTCGGAGCAGCCACAGAGAAGGCTCTCCTCCGGGGAGCCGCTAGCCGACGTTGTCCGGCTGATGGCGTCTGAAGGAGGCCTAATCTGTGGGATCTCACCAGCCGTAGGGAGGTATGTGGCAGTACGCGGTCTCGCAGATTGACAGATATAATACTTTTTAGAAAGAAAGCCAAAAATAAGCAAGACCAAGGCTACCTTTTCTTAGGGCAATATGAAAACCTTCCCCTGGTACATTGTTCTTGTTGCTGAAGGACAAACTTCCAGAACTGTGGCACTTGAGAAACATACTTGAATTATGCTGTAGTGGCAGATAGATTAGTTTACCCTCACAGCTCACTACATCATCAGAGGAGTCTGTTAAGATATTAAGACATAGAAGGATATACTAGAAAAAAGCAGCAACCCAGTAATATCAAAACATTTAAAATATATTTCATACTTTTCATACTGATACTAATCATGAATTATTTGCTCTTATCATAAGATGGATAAAGGGTTATAAAAACTGAAAGCAAAGCAATAAATCAGAGATGGGGAATCTGATCTGTATGCCCAATTTGGACTTCTAAGACAACCCATCTGAACAGGAATCCTCACCCCCAGCCGCACGAGCCTTTGCTTTCCCCTCATCACCCTACACCAGGGGTCAGTAACCTGCGGAGCCGCATGTGGTTCTTTCATCCCTGTGCTGCGGCTCCCTGTTGCTGGTCTGCTCCACAATTGATAGGGTTTTCGGTTAGGACAGGTAGAAGAAAAAGGATGCCGCGCTAGGAGGAGACTCTAGGGTGGCAGAAACTCGACTTCCAGTCAGCTCCAGAATTGAACAGGGGCTTCCGGTTTGGACCTTTGTGGCTCTTTGAGTGTTTAAGGTTGCTGACCCCTGCCCTACACAGATAAACTGATAAAACAAATGGAGCCTTAAGCCCTACTGCTGACATTGCTCTTCCTGCAAATGAGACTTAGTTCCACAAGTCCATTGGTATAGTAGACAGATTTAAAAGCAGGAATTCTTTCTCTTGCAGAAGTTCAACCTGCCTTAACAGATCTAACATAGTGATGAATGAAATGTGTTGATTTGATATTTTTTAGAGCTTTTGGGACATGTGATCTGACACTTCATTTAGTAGATGATGATGAGTCTCTTATCTCTTATGCTACTTTATATCTTCTGAAATTGCACTGTGAGTGAGAGGAAAAATAATAAAAAGCTATGTAAATTGAGTTGCACAGACAATGGTTTCCTGGGAAGTCTTTAATTCAAAAAATATTTTCTCTGTCCAGAAGCTATTTACCCACATATTTCCCATTCAAAAACCAATTCAGTGAAATCCAGAAGCAGGTCTGAGATCAGAAGATGGTAATGCCAATTCTTTGATGATCCAGCATGTTCACCAAACACCCAGAATAAGGTAACATCGTACTGCATCTTTATGAAAAACAATTTGCTGTATCGATTAATGATTCCTATCTACTAGCTACACAATTATTCCAAATTACATAACATCGTTACACTTTAGCTTTGTTTAGAACTTATTATGTAAACAGCCTTCCATATCAAGGAGAAAAATTACTGCAATTTAATGGTTCAGTAACTATCCCCAAATGAATCCTAAGCATGTAACTTTTTCCCTGGTGCTTTCCTTTTTAAAGTATAGCATAGATTGTGATTAAGTATGTTGCTCCAATTACACTGTCTGTTCTAGTTTCATCAACAGAGCTTTTGTTTGTAGGAGAGCTAAAATTGACTATATTTATTTACCTTCAGAGGAAAGATCCATAATTTTAGTGAAACTTGGGGCTGAACGCTTGAAGATCTTTGTTCTGTCACCCCCCACAACCACATCAGGTCCAAGGAATGAGACTAGCACTCCTAAGCTTTGCAGTGTCACAGCCACTAGAGAATCACAAGTATCTCGCAAGCCAAGTAAAACCTAGAATAAAGATATTCTGTTAAATGGAGTTGGCTTCCTAACCATCTTCAGTTAAAAAACAACAACGTAGGTCTGAAAAATCCCTTTCTTAATAGTTGCAATACTTGGGATGGGCAAGGGGGGGGGGGGCAGACATTTAAAAATGTAGTTTATTGGAAGCATTTTCTACCACAATAATACTTTTAAGCTGGTTGGCTATAACTCATCCAGATTTATCTGTTTTGTGTAGATTTAGAATTGAATATTTATACAAAAGCGTTTTGAAATGCCAAATACTTGTTCCCACTTGTAACTGTCCAGCACAGAAAAAATTAATGGATGTAACTATGTAAACCAGAGAAGATGGACTAAGGGAAAAATCAATCCAGATGGAGAGGATGGCTAGAACTTCAGAATCATATTCCTGAAGAGAAATGAAAAAGACTAGTTGACTTTATCTTTGTAAATAATCTCACTGCAGAAATCAACAATCCTTAATATTTGTGATTTACTATAAAGAAAATTCCCTCCCCGCCACATATACATAATTACTCATGCCTTGAGATGGTCACCTTACATTACCCAGCACAGGCATCCACAACTAGCCGCAATGATAACATGACAAAACATGCATTGTGATATCATGGCACAAACTCTACACTTTCATACTCGTATCATACTAGCATACTTGTTGCATGTAAGTACTTCAGAGATAAGAGTTTGAGTTGTGAGGTTGCAATGTACATTTTGTCACTTGACCTGCTATGGTCAAAACGATGAACTGTTCTACTTGGTAATAATGGTAATTAAATGAATTGGTAAGTACTATAAACAGAACAAGTGCCTGAAATGGAGGGGGAAAAACAACTGCTTTCACTTAAGAGGTGAATAGCAACTTTGTCATCCTCCATTTGTAAAGGATGCAATGTAGTGTCTCCTTTGTCCATGAAGGCTCTCTGTGGGAATGGGAATGCTCAGCTTCCCTAATCCCTTGAAAGTTTCCTTTACTCACTGTCTTATATAACAGCCACTGAACTACAACATATTACAAAGTAATGCATAAGATGACTTGTACCTGCAGCCTAGCACAAAAGTCAATAATACATAAACCAATCATGTAATTTTGGAGTTTCTTTTTTTGCAAACAAAGAAAAAGCTGCTTAAATATTCATCATAATTTAAGTAGTATCAACTCACTGAGATTTGTTGCAGAGTAAGTACACAGAGGTTTATGCTTCCAGAACCATCACTTCATTTTCCCTATGTGTTTAGCTATATGTACGCATGATGTATCCTATCAATGCCCTTATGGGGTATATGCCCTCTAGCCAATTTGCATATCCAGACACACAAATGTCTGAGGGTGGAAGATTCGTTCTCCGAGCTTGTGGGTTGGTTTCCAAACGTTTCATTACCAGGCTAGGTAACATCTTCACCGGAGTTTAGGTGAAAACTCCCCTAAACTCAACTGAAGATATTACCTAGCCTGATAAAAAACATTCGACCTGGGTACCTGAGAGACCGCCTCCTGCCGATTACCTCTGTCAGACCAATTAGATCTCACAGGTTAGGTCTCCTCCGGATCCCACCTGCCAGCCAATGTCGGCTGGCGACTCCCCGGGGGAGAGCCTTCTCTGTTGAAGCGCCGGCCCTCTGGAACGAGCTCCCTGTTGAGATCCGGATCCTTACTTCCCTCCCG